CATGGTTCGAGGACTCAACTCCGTCATTGGTTTGTAACGACTGTTACTGCTCTGATTCTGTCCATCTGTTCGTGGAGAGGCATGTTGCTCCTCATATCGCTCGATTACAGACTGGATTCCTCCCTGACTTGCTCCTTCCTTGTCGGATCTATGAGGCATATTGTTTCACCTTTTGCACTGTCAACACCTAACACCTTGCACTTTCACCTTTTGCACTTTTAACACCTTGTGCCAAATTGTTTCGCGCGTGTTAACTCGCTAATAATTAAAGAGGATCAGACGATTGTGTAAGGGACGAAACCTCTTGAGACAAAGTCCCAAAAAGGGGTGTTCTTTTTATTGGCGATGAACTTTACAATTGAAAACGAAAAACAACGTGCCTTCGCCCTATAACTACCCACTTTCTTTGTAGTGGCCATTTTGTCATGAAACTGTCCTTTTAACTACTGCCATTATCTTGCATCGTTCAACCGCTTTCGATTGAACCCCTTGAGTCGTGGAACGTGGTAAGGTTAATTTAGCAACTGCCTCAATAACTGCATTTCTTGATAATCATAATGCGTTATGTTTGTTGATACCTTGGGCGACTTGAAGATTTGGGCGAGACTCTGGGCGACCGTATGCCACTCTATTCGTTCAGATTCTGAGCGACTTGCAAACTTGGGCGATGGCGTTACCGCACTATTGGGCCCCTTATTTGGGCCTTCACCTTGATTCGTTCAATTGGATTTCGCTCTTTGGGCTATCTGATTTGGGGATCCTCCAATTGGGCTTTACTCTCTGGGCTGTTCGATTTGGGCTGAATTTTTATGTGTCAACGAAAACTAATAGTTAGCATGCAAAATACTTTATTGTGTGAATGTGTGATTGAAAGTGAATATGAGAAATAAATTATTTCGTTTTAAAGTGAGTCAAATAGGGGCATAATCTTTCTTTACTAGTAATTAAAAAACAGTAAATTGATTTCCATAAAAATCTATAAATTTTATGTAACGCAACACTCTTATTTCTTTTGATTATCATGTCGATTTAAATTGATTTCATTAGTATTATTTTTATTTTGTCTTGACTAGCTATCTTGTTGAATTGGGATGTAATTTGGACGTCCTAGCCGAATGACAAGCCAACTAAAGTTAATTATAAGTTGCGTATAATTCAATTTAAAATCTGAATAAATAAAATGATAAACATATATTATTCTTATGTTTATAGTTTTGTTACTTACCATAACTTGACCCCAAATATCATGTCAAAAGATTTTATTTACTGTTTGTTAAATAAATGCAAAATCAATAATTGGTCAACATATTGGAAAATTGGTTACGTAATTGAGCAAAATAATTTGTTTGGCTTTGATGCTATAATGAGTATATTTTTAATTAGCATAAATGAATTCATAACATAGATGCCTAAGATTTGATCAACTTGGTTAATACATTTAAACTTTGTTTAACACTATGTTTTAATAATTATGATATATTGTGACCATTCTATGCTGGTTAGTATAATGCTTTTCATTTATATATTAATCAATTGAATGATTTCGACACATTTAAATTATTTTAATACTCTAAAATAGTTTCACGTTTGTTATGTGATTCCAATGAAAATTTTTAGAGCAAACAAAACTGAATTTATCATCCATAAGTTAGTTAATATTTTGTATCATTTCAAATTATTCTTCTACTACTAGGACTTTATTGATTTAGCATTTGAAGCAGACATTTATTTACAAGCATATTAAAAAAGCGGTGTTAATATGATTTTCAATGTTATTTATAATATTATCAGGGGAGGACCCAGAGATTTCGGACTGTGGAGTCAAAAATGAATTTTTTTTCGAACAACGTATCATTAACGAAAATAAACTCATAGGATTAATGGATTGAAGTGGATAATTAATTGGAATTTGGAACCCCAAACCCAAATAACCGTTTCAGCAGCAGAAAAAAGTTGGAAAAAAAGGCAGAGCCAAAAAATATAGTAATCATGCACTCCATCATCATCCAATAGATTTCAGTTATAATTAATTCCATTAGGTGATTACTGCTTCTGCATCATCAAGGATCAAGACAGCACTTTCTTGACCCAAAACAACGTCAAGACCCTTTTGATATTTCTGTGTACCATCCCCTTGTGCTATAACTCTGGAGTGGAAGTAAATATCACCAGGGTCAAGCAGCTTTACCAAATCCAATGCATCGGCACGTTCTCCCATTGTGTATATGTACATCTCAAACAAATTACTAGCTTCATTCAGAAAGGTGTTTGCAAAAGGCCTCAACTTCGTCATTATGTGCATCGAGTCCAGTCTAAACAAGCTGCTCTTTATTTTATCTGGTCAATGCAATGTATATTATTAGTCGAGCCTTTATTATTATTAGTTCTCCTCGGACACTCCACTGACACTACATGACGGGTCCAAAAAATTAAATGCCATGTACTATTATTTATAATTTTTTTAAATTTCCAGCACTCAGGGGAATACATTAGGTCTTTGATGCTCAGACTCTTCGTAATGGTTGGAGTTCCATATCGGACATAATATGACACAAATATGGGTATATGATATGTGTCAGATTCTCCAAATTTCAAATCGCCATTTTTGCTTCTTCTCCCCTTTTCTTCCTTCTTTTCTTTTTCTTTTCCTTTTCTTTCTCGTTTTTGCCCTCTATAAACCTTGCACCGCCTCCGAGAGGGTAAAGAAAGGCGACGGCGCTAGGTATTCCCTTTTCTTTTCTTTTTTTCTTTCCCTATTCTTCTTTTTTTTTCCTTCTTCTCCTCTCTATATCGGTGGTTAAGGATTTTGTTTATATAAAATGAAAATGAATTCCATATAATATTACTTAATACTCCACTAAGTCAAAATTGCAATCAAGTCCCTCATTTTCTATTTTATATGATATTTAGTAATTAACTTCCCATAATTGAAAACTAAACCACAAAATTCTATTTTATTTGTCTTAACCCCTTATTCAATACTCATTTCCTTCTTTGTGAACAATTAATTTTGGTCTATTCAACATGATATCTTGGGTTAGTAAAAAAATTGAAACTTGAAAGACGTACCCACGTCCAAAATTTTGACTCTTTTTAGTCATATCCATTTATCCTACATTTTAGTAAATAAAATATACGATATTTAGATACATACCCATATCCGAATCTGAGCATCATAGCATCAGGTGCATTCTAAGGCAAATGTTCAATGTGGCATTTAAATCAACATGTCCCAACGTGTCCCTTTTAGGCTTTTCGAAAAATCATGAGTTGCCATGTTTGTATCATGCGTCCAAATATAGTGGAGTATGGAGACAAACAGACTTAAAAATCGAAGGACATAACAGAAACAAAAGGAAAATAAATGTAAACTTTAAAAGCAAGAAAAATATTACCAAAGCAGGACCACATAAGATGCTAAAGGGAATATACCTGGCAAAGAGTCACGTTGGCCCTCTAAGTATTTTTCTTCCCTCGTAATATCTGCAAATCGATTTGAATTCAGTAGAGTGTGATCAGTGTGATCTAAATCAAGAACCAAGTAAAGCTTCTAATGGCGTAGCTGTTGAGTAGTAAACTTGATTTTTGGACTAAATAATATGGGTTTAAGGATTTTGCTTATAGGCCCAAATCAATTAAAAGGCCCAATATGCATAGCATTTCTAGAAGCATTATCTAGAAAAATCTATATAAATATCTACTAGAAAAATCTATATAAATATCTAAGTAAGATATGTAGTTTTATAAAGAATATCTAGAGAATTCTAAGAAAATATCTTGATATGTGGTCTGGGTGTCTCTAGAAAATGTGTGGACTAGAATCTTCTTGTAAACACTATATAAAGGGGTAGTGCCCTCCATTTTGTAACAAGCCAAAAAGTGTGTAAAGTCTTGAATTTGAGAAATACAAGTTTCCTTTTTTCACTTCCTTCTTCCTATTAAGTGTTGTCCTCTTAAAAGCCTTAGTCAATCCAAGTTAATAAACCCATCTTTCATCCAACAGTAGCAAGTTCTTAAAGTCTTTGCCATGTAATCTAGCAATCTAGTCGTTAGCGAGCCGCAAATTCTGCATATACAAGAGAAATACGTAAATCAAAGTACAGTCTTAATAAACATTCTAACTCCAAGCATTTCTATGTGTGAATGTTAAGGAGAGGTATATTTTATAATCTTGCTGTGCATCTCCTAAAGTATTATATTTTTCCACGTTTTCTTCTTATTTTTGAAATTCTGTAGTGATGAGGATCTGGATAGAATTCCTTCCCTTTCTTTTTCCTACTATTTTTTGCTCATGTTTGGGAATTGAGGGGGTGTACAGATTGGGCCTTTTTCTCCTGAGGTATTTCTTATACACATTATTTTTGTCAACGGAAAGAAAGATTACATTACCATCTTTATGTGATTGTATTTTGGAATGATTGTATATTACTATATTAGGTCAATTACTTACCATAGATGTATATATATTTTAATTTCTATATAATGGGAGAATCCCGAAAACGAACGATATTTAGCCTTTGAAAATTAACATGGTATCAGCGCTTACCCATAAAATCAATTGCTAAATCTTAAAAATGAAGGACCAAGGTATGACAAATCTCAAATTAAATGTTACAATTGTCAAAAACTTGGTCATTATGCTTCCGAATGTAGAAATATTACTAACCAAGTTGAGGAGAAAGCCAACTACGCTTGTCGGGAAAGAGAAGTAGATCATGCACTACTATTGGCTTACAAAGGTGAAGAGAGCAGAGAAAAGAATACTTGGTATTTGGATACAGGAGCAAGCAACCATATGTGTGGAAGAAAAAACATGTTTGTGGAGCTTGATGAATCAGTAAGCGATAACATTACCTTTGGAGATGAATCCAAGATCCCAGTGAAAGGAAAAGGTAAAATCTTGATCCGCTTAAAAATGGTACGCATCAGTTTATCTCAAATGTCTATTATGTGCCCAATATGAAGAATAACATTTTAAGTTTGGGACAACTCTTAGAGAAGGGCTATGATATTCATTTGAAGGATCATAGTCTTTCAATAAGAGATCAAAGAGAAAATTTGATTGCCAAAGTCCCTATGACAAGAAATAGAATGTTTGCATTAAGCATTCAAAATGATGTCGCTAAATGCTTAAAAGCTTGTTTTAAGGATTCATCTTGGCTTTGGCACTTGAGATTTGGGCATCTTAATTTTGGAGGCTTAAAGTTGTTAAGTAAGAAGAAAATGGTGAAAGGTTTGCCTCCAATAAATCATGCGGATCAATTATGTGAAGGATGCTTACTTGGAAAGCATTCGAGAAAAAGTTTTCCAAAAGAAGCATCTACAAGAGCTAAGAAGCCGCTAGAACTTGTACACTCCGATGTTTGTAGGCCAATTAACCCAAGCTCTCTCGGTAAGAGCAATTATTTTGTTCTTTTTATTGATGATTTTAGTAGAAAGACTTGGGTCTATTTTCTCAAACAAAATTTGGAAGTTTTTGAAACTTTTAAGAAGTTTAAAGCTCTTGTTGAAAAAGAAAGCGGATATAATATAAAAGCCTTGAAATCGGATAGAGGAGGAGAGTTCACCTCCAAAAAGTTTGAAAAATATTGTGAGGAGAATGGAATTCGTCGTCCAGTAACGGTTCCATACTCTCCACAACAAAATGGAGTAGCAAAAAGAAAGAATAGATCCATTCTTAACATTGCCCGCTGCATGCTCAAAAGTAAGAGATTGCCCAAAGAACTTTGGGCTAAAGCTTTTAATTGCGCCGTGTATTTGTCTAACCGATCACCTTCTAGAAGTGTGTGGAATAAGACACCACAAGAAGCATGGAGTGGAAGAAAGCCCAGCATCTCTCACTTACGAGTATTTGGGAGCATTGCATATGCTCATGTACCAGATCAAAAACGGTCCAAGTTAGATGACAAAAGTGAAAGGTATGTCTTCATCGACTATGACTCTCGCTCTAAAGGCTACAAGTTGTATAATCCAAGCAATGAGAAGATCACCATAAGTAGAGATGTCGAGTTTGATGAAGAAGGAGCTTGGGATTGGGGTGTCCAAGAAGAAAACTATGACTTCTTACCATTCTTTTATGAAGAAGAACAAAAGAATGGAGAGCAGCAAGAGATTATCAGTCCACCTCTATCACCTACTCATGGAAATGCTTCTCCATCATCTTCACAAGGAGAAAGTTCAAGCGAAAGGACACCACGGATGAGGAGCCTACAAGAGCTATATGAGGTAACCGAAAATCAAAATGATCTCACACTTTTTTTTGTCTTTTTGTCGATTGTGAACCAATAGGGTATGAAGAAGCGGTGCAAAATAAAAGATGGAGAGATGCTATGGATGAAGAGATTAAGGCTATAGAGAAAAATGACACGTGGGAGCTGACAACTCTTCCCAAAGGAAAGAGAGCAATCGGAGTTAAGTGGGTGTACAAGGCAAAGAAGAACGCTAAAAAAGATACAAAGCAAGATTGGTTGCCAAAGGTTACAACCAACGGTCGGGAATTGATTATGAAGAGGTATTTGCTCTTGTTGCTCGTTTAGAAACCATAAGATTAATTATCTCTCTTGCAGCGCAAAATAAGTGGAAGATATTTCAAATGGACGTGAAATCAGCTTTTCTAAATGGTTGTCTCGAAGAAGAAATCTATGTGGAGCAACCAATGGGTTATAAAGTAAAAGGACATGAAGGTAAAGTCTTGAAACTAAAAAAGGCTTTATATGGGTTGAAACAGGCTCCAAGGGCATGGAATAGTAGAATTGACAAGTATTTTCTAGAAAATAACTTCACAAAATGCCCTCACGAGTATGCCCTTTATACAAAGGTAAATGAGAAAGGAGATATTTTGCTTGTTTGTTTGTATGTAGATGATCTTATATTTACAGGAAATAATCAAAGTATGATCACTGAGTTTAAGAAGGTCATGGCTCAAGAATTTGAGATGACGGATATCGGCCACATGGCCTACTATCTTGGGATAGAGGTAAAGCAAATGGAGGACTGCATTTTCATTTCACAAGAAGGATATGCGAAAGAAATTCTAAAGAAATTCAATATGGAGGACTGTAAGCCCGTATGCACCCCCGTCGAATGCGGAATCAAGTTGTCGAAGAATGATGAAGGAGAAAAAGTAAATCCAACACTTTTTAAGAGTCTTGTTGGAAGTCTAAGATATTTGACGTGCACAAGACCAGATATCTTTTTTGGAGTTGGGCTCATTAGTCGCTATATGGAGACACCTACAATAACCCATATGAAAACTGCGAAGAGAATTCTTCGCTACATCAAAGGTACGCTTGATTATGGCTTAGTCTATTCATCATCTAATGAGTTCAAACTTGTTGGATATAGTGACAGCGATTGGGGCGGAGATAGTGATGATAGAAAGAGTACGACTGGGTACGTGTTTTACTTGGGCGACACAGCTTTCACTTGGAGCTCAAAGAAGCAATCGATCGTAGCACTATCTACATGTGAAGCTGAATATGTTGCAGCTACATCAAGTGTCTGCCATGCGATTTAGCTTAGAAACTTGTTAAAGACGCTTGGAGTACCACAAGAAGAGCCAATCGAAATCCATGTTGATAACAAATCGGCATTGGCATTGGCATTGGCATTGGCA